TCGCTCCTGCAAAATTGCATTACATCATAAGCAGGAGTGGTACCAGGCCTGGGCTCGCGCATCGACGTCTCGGGATGTAAATACCAGCGTTCTTAAAAAGAAGTATAATTCTGCTTCCAGGTCCTTCAAAAGTGTCATTGTCAAGGCAAAGTTAGAGCACATCGGCAGAATTAGCGAGAAACCTGCTCGTCTTCCTTCGGGTACACGTGCATTCTGGTCTCTCGCCAAGGCTGTCCAGGGAACTTTTGCCAGCCATCTCTTCCATCTTTGCACAGGGAGGTTGACTCACTGGCCCATGCCGCAAAGAACAAAGCCGATCTCCTGGGTTGTCTCTTTGTGTCCAACTCAACTATTAATGACGGGGGGAAGACACCGCCAACCATTCCGCACTGTGAGTGCTCCATACAGGATGTGCTGTTTACCCAACACTCGGTGTGCAATGCACTCCTCTCCCTGGACATCAACAAGTCAAGTGGGCCTGATGGCGTCGCTCCCATTGTGCTGAAGACGTGTGCTCCGACGTTGTCACCGGTCGTAACGCGTCTTTTCCGGTACTCCTACTCCCTAGGCGTAGTCTCGAAAGTCGTGGAAGACAGCCTTCGTGCACCCGATCCCTAAAAAGGTAACCGCTCTGATCCGTCCAACTATAGGCCAATCGCCATCACCTCCTTGTTCTATAAAATAATAACAGCCAGCTCATGCGGTACGTTGAGGATCACCAGCTGATTAGTGACCGCCAGTACGGTTTCCGTAGCGATCGCTCGGCTGGTGATCTTCTAAGTTACCTTACTCATAAATGGGCGAAGACAGTAAAGTCCAAGGGGGAGGCGTTGGCCGTTAGTTTGGACATAGCGAAGGCCTTCGATGGGGTTTGGCACAAAGCACTTCTTACGAAGCTTCCTTCCTATGGGCTTCCCGAGAAATTGTGCAATTAGATCACCAGTTTTCTAGCTGGTCGGAGCATCAAGGTCGTAGTAGACGGAGCATGCTATGATTACAAGCCCATTAACGCTTGTGTTCCACAAGGCTGCGTGCTATCAATGACATGTTGTAAATCGGTAGCATTATTTGCTATGCAGACGACAGCACTGGTGATACTTTATACACCAGCCGTGCCAATATTTCTCGGGGAAACGTCGCCAAGTACCGGGACAAACTTGTGTCTGAAGTCGAGACTTTGTTGAACAAAATCTTGGACTGGGGGCGACTAAATCTAGTTCAGTTTAATCCCCAGAAAATACAAGTTTGCGCGTTTACCGCTTAAAAGAACACCTTCGTCATATCTTCTCAGTTTCAAGGTTGTTGCTTCAGCCTGTATTGGAATCCTCGGCGTTGACATATCTAGTGACGTGCAGTTTCGTGGTCACTTGGAAGAAAAGTCCAAATTGGCCTCTAAAAAGCTTGGCGTGCTCAGCAGAACGGGACAGTATTTCATGCCGACTCACCGCCTGCAACTTTACAAGGCGCAGGTTCGGCTGCACATGAAATACTATTCTCATCTATGGGCCGTGGCTCCACAGTTCCAGTTCTTTCCATTTGATCGCATCCAGCACAGAGCAGTTCGAATCGTCGGTGACCGAGTCAGTGGCGAAGCTAGAGCTCCAAACTAGGGCAAGCCCAAGATATAAATAGATAAAAATATAGATTGTTATTTTTGCCATTTTTATAAAAATACAACAATCTTGATCTGTCTCCACTCTTCAGTTTCATATTCAGTGCTGTCAAGAACGTATTTAACAAAGCACACGGGCATACCACTGTTAGATAGATTGTATTACATATCAGCAATTGCATAGCTTCGGTGACTTTGACGAAAGCCGTTTGGGTTTGTTTAATCGAATGAAAAAGATATTTACTAACAATACAATACATGAACAAAAGTAAAACATGAACAAAGTACAAACAAACTATGTACAAAATTAAAATAACAAATTATTTACATTCTAAATAGAATCGTCTCTCTTTCTTATGGAAAGATTTAATTACGTCCACGTAAAATGTTGGTGAACGTTTTAATTATACCAATAACTGTTTTTTAATTGCGATAATTGATAAGTCTGAAATACACTCTTGACCTTGTGTATTATCTCAACTAAGTTTAAAGATTTTACCTTTTCCTCTCCGATTAGCACTTTAACATACTTCAATTCATCACAATCACACTATTATCCTCTATTTTCACTAGTATCCGTTAAAAAACTTAAATTTTCAACGCAATATTAAATCGCTTAAGCTAACACACTGAGTAAATAAACATTCAAATGTGAAATGAACTTGCAAACGTATTGCCTGCGCGCCTCCGCTTTTGACAACTTCTTTCCTAAAGCCTGGCTTTAAATCTCTATACTAATTGCTATATATACAATCGTAGTTATATTTCATTATAGAATATTTTGCCATAGGTTAGAAAGAGAGCGATCGTCTTCTCGAAAGTCCCATAAAAAGCTCACGCGAGCGAGAGACAAAACTAATCGCTCTATTAAAACTCATTTTTTATGACAGCAGCAGTATCGCTAAGACAATACGAAGTCATCGGTCGACTTGTGTCGAACAGTGGAGTACGCGGGAAATTTGAAATAGTTTGAAACAGTTTACGAGTTATTTTATTAGTTGATATTATTGATTGATTCAGTTTGATAAGCCAAGCCCGGCTATTCGGCTTCTATGGCGGCTTCGCCACTGGACCGAGCTCTTTTTCAGATCGGCTTGACTCACTGGCACTGCGAAGAGATGTTGCATCTCTTTGCGTATTTTATCGCATCTACCACGGCGAGTGCTTTGAGGAATTGTTCGGACTAATTCCAGCCGCACAGTTTCACCACCGCACATCACGACAAAACTCGCGATACCATCTATACCATCTGGATGACTGGCGGTCCACCACCGTGCGATTTAAAAGGATTTTTGTTCCTCGCACAATTTCCTTGTGCAATCAACTACCACCAGAGATTTTTCCGGACCTATACGACTTAGGGACCTTCAAGAAAAAAGCCTATTCCTTTTTAAAAGGCTGGCAATGCATCTGCAATTCCCCTGGTGTTGCAGCTGTTCATGGGTGACGGTAATCCCTTACCATCAGGTGAGCCGTTTGCTCGTTTGCCCCCTCTCCTATAAAAAAAACTAAAAAAAAAACTATAGCAGCTTAATGCTGCTGTATTTCGTGTGGTGAGTGTAGAGAACCGGGGTGCTTTTTTACGGTAACGAGGCGTTCTATCTTAGTACTCAGGGTGTTCTTATGATTCACAATTGAGTGAATAAATATGTAGCTGTGTATGGGCCACAGCATCCACTTACCATCAGATGGGCTGTGCGCTTATTTATCACTCATCAATAAAAAATACCCTCTTACTGCGTTTGTATAATCTAATCTCAACCACAACTAAAGATAATATAAGTTATAATTACATAGCCACATATGGTGCATTACATGAAATCAGGTGATCGAACTTGCTCGATATTTCTCCAAGTAAGGATACTGATGGAGGTAATACATATAATACATTTGTCACGTAATATAATCGACGCCTTTAGGTCTCTTTCTAAGTTCCTCAATTAGGCAGGCCTGGACCATCCGATCTCTTTTATTAGGAAATTAACTGTTCTAAGTGTTATTACTACCTTGAATCAGTCACTGATTAATTTCGATAGACTGAAAATAGTAAAGTGAATCATTTTGATACGTTGAGGAGCTTAAAGATGCGACTGGTCAATAGTCCTTTTAGGTAATTAAACGGAAAGAGTTCACATCGCTGCTGAAGTGCATTATGACGAATGATGATGTACTTT